CATCCAGCAGAAAAGTATGAAAACAAAGTATAAGAAGTAAAGCCATGCTGTTATGTTGAGCTGTAGGGGACTCAGGTCAACAATTTCTGACATATCCAGTGAAGTAGAAGACCCAATACTATCATTGTCTACTGGACTCTTTTAGAATATTTTGCTGAGTTAACACACCTATAATATTCAAATAACGGAACTAAACAAAAAAGCGGCTACAGATGAATGTCCATTTTGTATCTGTGCATTCAAAATGGTTAGGACAGACATATAGTTACATTCACTTAATGAATAGAGGGATTTGTTGTATCAGTGTTTGTAAATAGGATATCAAGTCTGCATCTTGTACAGCAATTGACTACTAGGAAGAGAGTATGCAATGTATTAATTATTGGAAGTGTCCTACCAATTTGATTTGAAACTGTCTCATTGATACTTGTCTCTCAATAAAATTATGGAAAAAAATCTTGAGGCATTTTGTCTGTGACTGCCTAGAGCAAGGCAAGAGTATATGAGATGTTCACACCCCATATAAACGTATAGAAGAATGTGTTTACTTTAGTGTAAATTTTGAACTAGATGCATGCCTCTGAACATCAGTTACATTGATGCAACAGAACCTTTGGTGTTTATCTCTTTGGCCAAAGTACCAAGAGGTCATGGCACCAGTGGCTTCTGAATATGTTAAATAATCCTGTATAGTTTTTCCTGTAAAGAATGATCTAAATACTCCAACTGCTGAGTGATCAACTTGTCAATATCATAAGGCAAAAATGGAGCTTCCTAGGATTAGCGTCTTCTTTCAGATGAATGAGCAAACCACTTCACTGCAATTGGACCACAGTAAATTTTCTTTCAAGAGAGGGCAGTGACATGGTCTTAATGGGCTAGGAATTTACTGCACATACTAACTTTTTCTTTTTATAGAACTTCTTATTAGTATTACTGTTTATGACTTTGAAAAATATTTTTTCCATGCGCACAGTATCCTTTAAATTATTTCCAACCCGGACACGTTTTAATGCAAAGCATGTATCATATCATCACAAACTAATCACAAAATTCACTGGAATTAGTATACAAGGAGCTAATCCCAACACCCAAAAGGAGCAAGTACTGTGTAATGACTAGGCAAAGTCTCAGTGCCTATGACACCTTATAGATAACACCCTATGAGATTGCAATGTTAATTCTCAGGAAGTAATATATGGCTTCCACCAGATGCCAATATATGATACTATCTGCCCCACAACCCTTCCACTCCATAAATATGTACCTGACAACCCACTTCGGCAACATTTATGCCTTAATGCCCTTCATTAAGAAAAGTTTCCACCAAAGAAATAGTCATGTTTCCAATAAAAATGAGGCTATTCTTTTATCAGTGGGATTGTAAAACATAAAGCAAAACTTGACACAACTACAATAAGAAATAAAAAAGTTCAGAAAGTAATAAACTTAATTCATACAGTTCAGTAGTAATGGTGAAAGAAACCGATAAATTACTGACAAACATCCAGAAGTGTGACTCAAATGGTGTGAAAAGAATATTCACCTAAGAAAATCAAAGTTGTCCTAAATTTAATTAAAAATAATTTTATTATACAATTGAAATGAACTACTTACTCTTAAGAGTCTCACTGCTGATAGCTTCCAGTTTTTCAATTTGAGACTGGCTTACAGATAATAAAACTTTCTCCTCAGGCAGTAGATTTTCAGAGGATTCATCCTGTTTTGGGGCTTCAAAAGAAAATGTTAAATAGAAAAAGCATATATACAATGGAACTTTAGGATGTGCAAACCTTCTGCTGATAGGAATGAAATAAGAAAATCATGTAAGTACTGTAGTCTTCAGGAATAATGTACAGGCAGTGTCGTTAGCTCAGCAATTACCAATGTAAATTTAGAGAATTTAAAGTGATATATTATACTTACTATCATGTGCTTTCTCTCCAGAAATTGTTTCTCTCTCTGCTTGCATTTGGGATTTTGACATGGAATCTTGAGGCACAAATGTAAGATTTTCATCTGGTACTATAAAATGAGTTACATAAAGAGATGCATTTAATTTTCTAAATAGAAAATTCTACTGTGAAACATTTAGATAGCAGTTGTAATATACAACAACATTTTCTCCATCTTATAGTTTTAAATAAGTCAATACACACAGATCTATCATGGTATGAAAATGATGATAGATGATAGATACATATGTGCATATATCTCCAGGATTCATACATTATTTATAATTTACATTACTTACACTTGATATTAACTTGTATTTATAACCAAGCCCAGGTTTATTCACTACAGCATTATTTATGAAGGCAAATATTCAAAACTATTTGAATATTCAAGTAAGGTGATTGGTTGGCTAAACTAAGACATAATTTATAACTATGGCATGGTATATAATGTATCATATATAATGTATCACAAACCACATTTATTTTCATGAAGCAACTAAAAAGATTTCTACAAGCTGAAATGGAGCTATTTCTTGGAGATAATGATAAATGAAACAAATCTAAAAACAGCATGCTTTGGGAACAGTTAAGCTGATGTCTGGTTTCCCAGGTTCACAGATGGAGAGAAATATTTCCCCAGAGTGAATTCTATCATAAGTCTCATCCACAATTATTTTTGATGATTTGGATGAGATTTGAAACTTGAAGTTGATGATAGTATTGGATGTATATTTTGCATGTGGGAAGGATGAAGAAGTATTTAGAGTCAGAAAGTCAATTGTTATGGGTTGAATTACCACCCAAATATGTAGAATTCCTAACATTCAAGACCTCAGAATACAATCTTATTTGAAAATGGGATCTTAATACAGTAATCTAGTTAAGATGAAGTCATTTAAAATGTTCTGTATCCAGAGTTGGGGAGATAGCTCGGAAGTCTAAGCACCTGCCTGACAAGCACAAGGACCTGAGTTTGATCCCTGGTACTGAATGCTGTTCCAGCCCCAGAACCCTGAGTGTGCTGTACCAGCCACCGAAACTGGGTCTGGTGGTGTACACCTGTAATCCCAGTGCAGGAGAGACAGAGACAGGAGGATCACTACAAGTCCTAGCTGTGTAGCGAGACCCTATACCAAATAAATAAATAAATAAATAAATAAATAAATAAATATTCTGTATACAGTCTGAATAAAAGTCCATATACAATGGGATTTTGGAGCAAGAGAGATGCCACACTGAGTGAATGGCATGCAAAGATGAAAGTGGAGATTAGTGCACTATGCCTACACACCAACAAAACAAGCATCGTCAGAAAACAAGTGTTTTAACAAATTCTCATGAAGAATTATGCAGAAAGCACCAAACTTGCTGATACCTTTCCTTGGACATCTAGTCTCAAGGACTCTGAGATAATAAATTATTTCTGTCGTTTACATTGTCTAGTTTAGAGTCAGGAATATAGCTCAGTAGCACAGAGCCTGCTTGGCAGGTGTGAGGACTAGAATTTGACTCCCAGTATGAACATAAATCAATCAATCAATCAATCAATCAATCAATCAATCAATCTACCCAATTTACAGACATTGCTATGGAATCACTAGGGATGTAACACAAAGGACAAACAGGCAATGATTTTTGGTTTGGATCCAAAGCTGGAACTGCCAGAACCCTTAACCAGATACAATTACGCATGATCCCACTGCTTACTGCAAACCTCCCCTTGTCTACCTGCACTCATTCCCAAGTTTGTGATTTGGAGAAGAAAAGATATAGTTGACTTGACTGAGCTAGAGTTTTTTTGTGAGACTATTTTTTCCTTCAATAACCAAATGTGCCCTGTGCTGTAGACCTTTGGTCCAAATGGAGACTGAGCTGGCTACCAGTATTCATTCCAACAGTAGAGCCCTGGTTGCTGGCAGTACTTATTTAGTGACTGGCACAAAACAACTGCATAGAGACTTCTGTACTTCAAAGCAAGTCTCCAACAAAGTAAAAAGAAAACCCACAAACCGGGAAAAAATTATAGCCAAATGTCCCTGCAAGAAAGGCCTTCTATCTAGAACATAAAGAATTAAAAATATCAGTCCCCTCAGTTCAAAGAACCAATAAACAAATGGGCATGAAATGAACATACACTTCTCAGAGAAAGAAATACAAATGCTAAGTAAACGTATGAAAAAATGTTCAGCATCACTGGCCATTTGAGAAATGCAAATTAAAACAATACAGAGACTCCATCTCACCCCGGAAAGAATGGCTAACGTGAAGAAGTCAGCCAATAACAAATGCTGGAGAGGCTGACCTCTGTTACTGGTGGGAGTGCAGACTGGTACAACCACTGTGGAAATCAGTTTGGACATTCCTTAAAAAGCTAGGATTGGAGATGCTTTGAAGCTAGCTATTCTTCTCCAGAATATTTTTCCAGAAGAACTAAAAACCTCATACCCCAGCGATATATATGCACCTACGTTTATAGTGGTCATAGTTAAATACTGGAAACAACCCAGATGCCCATCAACTGAAGAATGGATAAAGAAGATGTGGTATTCTTATTCAATGGAGTATTATTCAGCTATGAAACAGGATAAATCTGAGTCTTTTGTCAGTAAGTGGATGCAACTAGAGAATCTACTCTTGAGTGAAATAAATCAGGTCTGCATGTGCAAACGTTTGTCTCCTTAGTGTGAGAACCTGAAAGAGAAAATGGAATCTGAAGGCTAAAATAGATACTGGGAAAAGAGAATGAACTTATTCAAAATGAAGGAGTTACTGAGTTGAGAAGGACAGGGAAGGGAGTCGAGGAAAGGTATTTATCTATGTACATAAGAAGGATGGTTTGGACAACTGTAGTGTGTATTTTGCTGGTTTATGGAAATAAGTAGTCAATGCTCTAATTTATTTTGTTTCCTTGTTTCAATTGTTTGTAGTTTTTCTTTTTTAAATTTCTTATCTATTTCTTTTTTTCTTTCCTCTTCCAATTTTACATGCATATATCTGGTAATATGAATAACTGGTTGGAAGACAGCAGTGTGTATTACAAAAATATTGTGAAATTCATATTACTTTAAGTGAAAAAAACAGATAAAAGAACTTGATATACAACAACTGACATATCAAACCTTCTTTGTAGTATCAATGTTCCCATACATGATTAGAATCAGTTTGCCTTTGGATGTAATGAGTTTCAGAATATCGCACAGTCCTTCCATAAAACTATTTAAATTCTCTGACATCTAACCATGAATGCATAGGGAATAACTAACCTTTTGCTACACTGAAGACATCTAAGTGGGAGTAGCTCACTGAAGGCTACTGTCCTGAAGGGCTAAGAAGTATCATCACTAGGCCATTAGTGCAGACAAGGTATAAGGATCTAGAACCCAAGTGATTCCAAGCTATAAACATACTTTATCTCAGTGAGTATAAAGGATATTAATGGGATGCTTTGGCTACTGGTATACTCATTATCCCCAAGTGGGGACTGAGATGCACTAGTATATTGGGTTATCAGCAAGTCTACCGCACTTTATAGGTGTCCTGAGCTATAGGCTTTCCAATGGGTTGCCTCACTGCCTGTAACCTGAGTCCTTGTCATCCACCTCTGCCTTTGAGCTTAGGTTCGGTAACTTCTCTTCACCAACTGTAGGACATGGCAGAACTGTAATGGACTAGAACTGTCCATGGGCCTTTAGAACTCATCTCTCCTGAAGTCACCCCAAAACTACATTTTTTTGGGAAGAAAAATACTGGACTGGTACTGGGCTTTGGATACAAGTACATGACTTATGACATGAAATAGTGTTATAAGACAGAAAATTCAACAAAATATCATTAATATTTTAGATTTTGTTCTCTAGGTTATCATAGGGTATTTATATACTAGTTAAAATACACATTTTCTAGTCAAGCATAATGCCTTATACTTATAATCTCAGCACTCCAAGGGGCTGAGGCAGGAGAATGCCAAGTTCAAGCCCAATCTGGACAACTTAGTGAGATCCTCTCTTAAACTAAAAAAAAAAAAAAAATACAAAGGACTAGGAATTCAGCTCAGTACAAAGGCCCTCCATTCAATTTCCAATACAACAGAAAAATAAATGATTCTATAATACTATAATATATATGGTCATATGTTAAGAAAAAAACCAAAAATCTTCTAATGAGTTTAGTTTAAAATGACAAGCGACTGATTATTGTACTTCCTAGGAACTCTTTCCCCTCCATAAGTTTTTAGTTTCTTAAATGGCTCTTGGGTTTTCAACACCAAATATTAATGTTCAAGCATAATGCTTTCATTTGTGTGAGAACAAGATGAGCTACATAAAGAAATGCATTCAGTCCTCTAAGTAGAAAGCCACATGCATTGTACTGACTCTAGATTTTAAGCTTATAACAAGTGTAAAGGACACTTTCACTCACTCTGATAAAGTTATGTCACCATAAAGATAGGTCTAAGATTAAGACGGTAAGAACATTTTTAATGTTTGTGTGTTGAAGAGACTCATTATTTCTTTATTCTTCCTAGGCACCAAATACGTTATCTGTTTGTTCTTTAGTTTTCTTGGGTTATTTTCATTTTGGGTTAATACATATTCATAGACTTAACAATGAAAATGATTGTATTCAGGTTTTTTTCTTACTCCATTACTGATAGCTTCATAAAAATCAACTGATTGCATTAGTAGTGAAAGGTTAAATAAAGGTAAAGAAGCATAAATTATGATATGACTTATGGTAGATCTATAATATAAAAATGGTGTCAATAAGCACAGATTGAGATATTTTCAGGAGATAATATTGAGTGAAGGATAAAGTAAAAAAGAAAATATTTAATATGCTATCTCTTGAGGAAAAAAATAGGAAAAATGTATAAGAGACCAAGAGATACTTATTTTTGAAAAGTGTTGTATACATATTCTAACTCCCTACAATGAGTGTAATCATTATGTATAGCAAATGTGTACCAATAAACACAAAAACAAAAAGAGAAATATGAGAAAATACTGTAGTTGGAGTTTTAGGAGGAAGACCTGGAGGGTATAGTAAAACAGGTAATAGGAAGAATACAGAGAGCTCCAAGCCTTTGACCAGAGTCTGTGTGTCTCCAGTGTGCAGTTGGGTCTTTTGCACGCTTGCAACCCAACTCTGCCAGTGGCCTCTGCAAGCCCACTGTGTACCTTGCATTAAGTCCATTTCTCTACTGAGCAATGCCTGATGCAAAGTTTGAACAGTGAGTAAATGTGCTGATGTTGTTTAGAGTCAGGACTCATGGAAAAAGAAGAAAACACAGTGCATATGACACAGAAGAAAGCAAGAACAGGCCTGAGGGGGTGGACGGGAACTGTAGGTGTCTGGAAGAATCCATGGTTTCTAAAATGACTGTGCATGTGCATGCATACATGTATATGAATACCTATGTACACGTATATTTAACATATGCATTTTTGTGTATATGCATTTGTACATGCACAGCAGAGCCTGATTCCAAGCCAAAATCCTATGTGTGGTTACTCACACAATGGTTACAAAGGGAAACGTCATGAGAGAACACATCACACTCAACTGGATGAGCAGCAGATTAGCAAGCATACTGCAGACACTAGAGATAGCCGCCCTGCTGGGCTGGGGTCATCTGGATGGCCACGTCTGTTTTCAGGCCCGGTGTAACCACTGGGAAGCTTCCTTAGGTGGGGGAATTTTCTGAGGTGCCTTTGCCTACCCCACTAACATGATGATGGATATATTAATCAGTTGATTTAATATGTCTCATTGTATACACATTTCAAAATATCACATTTTACACTGTGAGGTTTTTTTTAATTTTTAAATTTTTTTTATACTGGGTAGTTCAGGGTGGTCTTGAACTCACTGTTGGCCCAGGCTCATCTCAAACTCACAGTAATCCTTCTGCCTCAGTGTCCCAAGTACTGGTATTACAGGCATATGACACCATGCTTGGCTTCCATAAATGCTTATAATTATGCTTTGTCACTACTATCATAGTAATTGAATAAAAGCTTAATTGTTACTTTTAGTTTGGTCTATAATTTTAATCAACCAACTCAAAACTAGCAATTGTCTTGGATAACCTTGTACAATGCGTAGGTTGGTAGATGAAACCCAGTGCCTTTCTGAGAATGAAAAGATCCTGAAGATCCTAAGAAACTTCTGAGAGATACTGAAAGTCTTTGGGGGCATTCTTACATGTTAACTGTAGGTCACTGCCAGAAGCTAAGAGTCCAGGGTCATAGTTCTCCAGCCATGCCAGTGAGTCTCAGAAACAGTTAGTGGGTGCCACACACCATTTCTGGAAAGTTCTAATGGATTATTTACATAAGATTCTCAGTTCTCAGGAGAATCATTGGTTCTTTTCTGAGCCCCCAAATCATTAATTCAGCTCCAGAGTGGGTCATATAAGAAAAATAATGGAGGGCTTTGGTGGTCCCTTCACTGCACAATAAAGGAGTAAGAACAAAAGACTTAGATTTTTAGGTTTATTTGTTGCAGTGAGGATGGCTTCAAGCTGATGCAAATCTCCTAGAGGCAGGTCAATCAGCTTATGACACAATCTAGATATTAAGTCAATAAATCTTTGAGCATGAAAAGGATTCTGCCCCAAAAAACATAAGAATGGCAATTGTGTGTCCTCTGCTGGGCAAGCCAGAAAGAGTCCTATGAAAGAAATCTGAGGGATTGTATACCAAAAAATGGGCCAGAAAGGAGTAGACTGATGAGCTCAAGGCCAGAGGCTGAGCCACAGGGCCTTCATCAGATACTGAAGTCTGTATTTGAGAGTTACAAGTGATATTTCCTCTGATCCTCTGAGTGCATTCTGAGACTTGTGTAGTTTGTCTCTTTGATGAAGGAAGTGATCTTATTAGCATGGTACTTTACAAGATCCTCATGCAAGCCCTTCCCTTTTTTACCCAGATCTCTCATTTTCATAAAAGAACAGGACTAGAGTTGAGCCAAGGTTACTACACCCCTGAAGAAATAAGTACCTACATGAAAGTCACAGTTCAAAGTAGAAGAAAGAAAAGACATATCTTCAATTTTTCGTATGCTAGGAAACAAATTACTGGGATCCTCACAATCCCTATCATGAAGATAAAGAAGACCATTCTATGCTTGCTTTCTGAGGACATCACCAACAAGAACATTTTCCACTGTCAACTATAGGCTGATTCCCTTCAAGTCCTTATAAGCCCCCATAAAGAAAAATTATCTAGCCAATTATGATTTCAATAGGGTGTTTTTTTTAAATGAAGCAATGGTAGTGTTAACTTCCATCTTATCTTTGGATTAGCTGCAGTTAAGGAACTTTTAGTGAGCTATGTGGAAGATCATGAAACAATCAGACTACCAATCCCAAGTGCCAGACAGCCTGGGGAAGAAAAAGAAGTAACCACCTTCACTGCTGAGCTTAAAAAAGTCAACTATCCATAAAGTGTTTATCTAATGATAGTATCTGGTCTGTATACAAGACCTGACATACTTAGGCTTACATGGACTAGGGTCTCACAAAGCATCAGTGCCACTTTGAGCACCCTGAAGCTATGACAGTGACTCTTTCTGGACTCTTCTGACTCCAATTCCTTATTTCTTTAACAAAGATAAATGATTTGATCCTATGGCAGTTTTTTTATAGTAGCATAGGCCAGAATTTTCTGGCAGACTTTGGGCCTAGGAAATGCCATAGTTAGCTAGAAAACACTTATATTCTATGAGACAATTATTGGCCTGTTATTATCTCTGGTAGATACGGACAGCATGACCTTGGTCATGAAACAGTCTTATTGATGTGGCTAAAGTGACTCAAGTTTTTTTTCTAGCCTTCATCTTAATAGTCCCTTAAACTTTAGATGAACTCACTCTTCAACCCTTCCTTTTACTAACCATAAAAGCCATAAAAGGAGGAACAAGTCTTTTATCTAGAGGAGCCAACAGATAAACTGTAGGTAGGCTAAGATTAAGTGCAGCCTCTCTTATTAAGGAACACCTGGAAAATGTAACTCTTGTGACCCTCTCCTGAAAATCGCTGGAATGTAGTTGGTATGGTGATTGGGAACTTGTTAATGTATAAAAATCACCGAGAACAAAGCCCGGGTTGTTGGTGCTTTGGTGTTTGCTGAATACTTTCCAACCAGCTGAATAAAACTTCCTTGAATGCTCTCGGTCTCAGTGAGTGTTTCTTGCTATTTACCTTTACATTAGGACAAAATTCTAACCAAAACACCTGACTCTTTGATTTTTGGTCTTGAGTTTCTTTAAGGTATTGATACTTTAGAGTCAAATTATAAAATTTGTATAAATTATATGCATTCATGAACCAAAAGAAACCTGATTTTAAAATACTAAAGCTTCTTATAGTTATTATACTCACTACTATGTCTTTCTTTGGAAGATTTTTCTTTCTTTCCTTGCATTTCAAGTTTTGAGGCTGAATCTTCATGATCAAGTATAGGAGTTTTGTCTGGTTCTTCACTCTGAACTACATAAAGACAGCATGCCCATGGTTGGG